TGACTCTCCAGATAAACTAAGCTGGCCAGTTTCTTCCCTTTGAGTTGCTGTCAGTGAACTGGAGACTGCTTTGAATATTTCAGGCTCTGATCCTGGAAGTTCTGAACACCGCCTGCCCCACCCCTGTCAGAACACAGCTGGTGACACAGGGTGGGGGGGGTGACCTGGGGAGAAGCAGCAGCAAAGGGGCCCTGCAGCTCAGCTTATCAGGGCAAATATACCCCCAGGTCAGACCTTTACCTCCAGAACAAAGGTAGCCTGGCAGGGGAGGCACCTCCCCTTCCTTCTTCCTCCTACACCCTGAGCTGCACTTGTGTTAGCTTTTTCCCTCCCAAGGAAAATTTTCAGGTCTCCTTTAGCCCAATTTTGCCTAAAATGCTGTGGGGCAATATGGCAATGTCTACTAATTTTCATGTCCTACAATCCAGCAGTTCAATTTTCTCAGGCTCCCCCTAGCTTATGCACGTACACAGGGAAACCTTCACTGCAGCCTGCGTATCTGACGGCACCAGAAGCAAATGGCTAAGTAAACCGGCGTGTCTCAACACTGTGGACACTGTGCAGCTGCCAAAGTGACCAAGGTGTGCAAATCACATTAGCTGATAAGGGACTGACATCCAAATGTATCAGGAACTCCTAGAATGACTGCTTAATCATTCTCCTGTTGGATAAACACATTCTTTCTTTTATCGCCCCATTACAACTAGGTATTGGAGATCTTTGTGCATACAGCTGGCTAACCATATCCACTGGTTCCGCATCCTCGGATTCAACCAACCAAGAATTCAAAATACTCGGGAAAAAAAATTCCAGAAAGTTCCCAAAAGCAAAACTTGAGTTTACCACGCACGATATTTACACAGCATTGACATTATATCAGGTATTATAAGTAAAGCAGAGATGACTTAAAGTTTATGCAATGATGTGTGTAGGTTTCACTCTGCCATTTATAAAAGGGACTTGAGCATCCGCAGATTCTGATATCTGTATGCACAGGTGAGGAGGGTGTCCAGATGTCATGGGGGGAGAAACCAGCTCTACAGTCAGAAAAGGTGGTTTAAAAATGAAGTTAGACCGGTGGCTTCTTAAAACCTTTACCAAGGACGTGCATATGGTGGCTCTCCAAGCTCGGGGCTGGTGTGCGGCTGTTCCCAATCTTGTTTGCCCTCAGAACACCAATTCGGGCTAGTGTGAACCATGGTCCACTGAATCACTAGGTCAAATGGCTCTGGACATGTTGCAAGCTGTTACTCTGTGGTTCCAAACTGCTTTCCAGAAAGGCTGCCCCAAGTTACACAACCATCTGCATGTATAGACCTATCACCCAACAGGTCAGGATTGTTGGATTTGTTTTTTTCAATGCCTGCTGACAGGCCAAAAAAATTGGTATCTCACTGTTACGTTATTTATGTTTCTTCAATGACGGCCAAATTGAATATATGAGTATTTTGATTTTGTTTGTTAGATACACATTTGTATTATTTCCTTTGTGAATTACTGTATTTCCTAGGCTTAAGATTTTTTTTTTAACTTTAATGTTTTTGAAACCAGAGGACTTCCTACCATCAAAAATGCTTAAATGGCAGGGGATTTCTTTTCTTCCCTAAAAAGCTGTTCCTAAGCTGACAATTTTTTAAATAAATGATTACATCTTTGATTTTAAAAAACACCTGTTTGTATCTATTGACCCTTTAGTGTGTTTTTCATCATGGTCTGTATGGTCTTTTCCTATACAAAGGCCGTTATCCCCTGGCCTGTCATCTATGCTGCTGCTTTGAAAATGCACACACTCCCCTTTAAATTCCCAGCGAGGTACCTTTCAGGAGGTGCAACAGTGTTAAGGATAAACACTGGTGCTGGGCGGGGTCCTTCTGATCTCGGGTGTACTGGGTGGTGAACTCCTCCAGCCACGTGATGAAAGTGGGGCAGGCGGACAAGCCCTGCAGCAGGGAGTTCATGAAGCAGGTGTTCCCCAAGTTGACCAGGCCAGGCACCAGCCCTAGAAAAGTTGGGGGCAGAAGAGAACAGCACATCACCTTGGACCACCTCTTTTTTCCTCTCCCATTTGGGACCCAGAGTTCCTGCACCGCGGCCTGGGATCTGAAATCCCAGTCTCAGAAGTCCTCATCCACAGCAATCAGGGGGCCAGGGCTTCTATCCCAGCCGAGGCCCAGTCCTAGTATTGCTCCTGCGGGAGACTGTAAGCCACAGAAGGGCAGGTCCGGGCCCTGTGTGACTTTTGAAACTTTATCAGAGTGTCTGGCACAGCCTGGTTTACAGTGAATGTGCAGAAACACTTAGTAACTTCTCTCTCTCTTTCCCTCCCTCTGTCTCTCTCCTCTGTTAAGAAAGCAACGTTTCTCCCAGCAGAAGGAAACCATTGTTCTATTCCTGCTTCCCAGGACAATGATTTTGTTCTTCTCATCAGTAGAAAAAAACACCACTACTGCCGTTCTGATCACTCCTTCTGCAAAGAGATCAACAAAATCTGACATATTTCCCTCTTCTGCTGAAATTAAAACCAACTAACAAAACTCTTTCATTATGAAAGTTCTCAAACATGCACAAGAGAAGAGAGGGTATACAATGAACCCCAATTACAACCATCCCCAGATTTAACAATCGTCAACATTTTGCTACTTCTGTCTCTTTTATTTATTTACTTATTTGCTTGGGCTGAATTTTCATCAATATGAGTAGAGCAACATTTATAAAAGAAAACATTTTTTAAAAAATCAGGAAACAGATCTTTGTGTTAATGAAGAAACTAACTTGAAACACTGACTAGTGACTAGCAGCTGTTCAGGGAAGGCACAAGTGCATCGCACAATTAGTCAGCTGCACTACTGAAAAACACAATGGCCTTATTAATGAGAACACTCAAGACAATTAAGTCACTTGAAATTTTTCTTTACAAAGAATGTCTCAAACTCAAGACTTTAGAGGGTGTGAAATGTAAATTGTTTTACTACAGCGTATGAAAGAATGAGTCATTAAAATTAACTTCTGTTTAAAAGAAAAGTACTATTCACAAAATTGAAGATATAAGAGAACCAAAACTGCCCTGCCTTTTGGGACTGTTTTTGGATAACAAGGGTTTGGGTCAGGTCTATTGACCATGATGCAAAGGTCTCCTTACCTTTTCTACGCTTCTTTCTTTCTGTAATGGGACCCCATATCACGTATATCCCTGCTGCCAGGGCAGCGGCAATCCCGCCGATGACACCCCAGTTCTTCATGACTTTATATCTAAAAAAGAAAGATAAGTTTACTGTCTCCCCTCATCACAAATGCAATATGTCACACAGAACTATATTCAATAGCTTGTAACAGCCTATAATGAAAATGTATAGCTCAGTGGGTAGAATGCATGTTTAAGATGCACGAGGTCAGGGGTTCAATCCCCAGCATCTCTGTTAAATTAAACAACAACAACAACAACAATAATAATAAATTAATAAACGTAATTACTCCTCACCAAAAAACCCAAACGAATAAATTAAATATATAATAAATAAAATTTTAAAAAAAGAAAAAGAACACAAAAAGGAAAATATATATATATGTATAACTGAATCACTATGCTGTGCACCAGAAGCTAACACAACATTGTAAATTGACTATATTTTAATTAAAAACATTTTTCAAAAGACAGTAATTATAGATTGTGCTAAGAAAACATTTGCTTCAGGGTGAAGATTAAATGAGATAATCTGTATAGAAGAACAACAACAAAAATTGAAAATTAGGAAAATAAGGTAGATAGTCGATCACATGAAGAAATTATTATTCATGTTTTAAATAACTGATAATAGTTATTTGTAAAGTATGTTTTCTTTTCTTTAAGTGGAGGTACTAGGGATTGAGCTCAGGACCTCAAGCATGCTAAGCAAGTCCTCTATCAATGAGCTATACCCTCCTCACCTACGTGTGTTTTCTTTTTAATTTATATATAATAAAATACATGCAGGTGGAAAAAACAAAACAAAACAAATGCAATATGTGTACATATAGGTGCAGGTACACAGGGAATGGTGTTTTATCAAAATAAACCACTGGCCCACCAAATGTCTAGCTTTCAAATTAAAGTAACATACAGTATAGAATTATATCTCAAAAATCAGCACATTTGGACATTAGGATTTAAAACCTAAGTCAGAGCACAACCTCCCAAAAGCCCCATTTCACTCAGAGGAGAAGCCAGGGCTTTCCTCCTGCTCTGCCTCTCACTCCGCTGCCAAACTGGCCGCCACCAGGGCCATGCTCCCACCCCAGGGCCTTTGCACTGCTGCTCCCTCTGCTTTGGATGCTCTTCCCCCAGGTCACACTGCTGGGCTCGCTCCCCCACCTCCCCTTCACTCCTAACAAGCTACTAGAACCTGAACTCCTGGTCCATTTTACCCAGTTCTACTTTTTCTTTTAACCGTAGTACTTACCACCTTCTACCATAACATTCACTTACTCACCACGTTTATTGCTGGTCTCCCTCAACTGAAATACAAAGTCCCCAAGGGCAGGGATCTTTGCTTTACACACTAACACATCCCAAGGGTTCAGATCGTGCCTGGCACACACTAAGACACATAGTAGATTCTTGATAATATGTATTGAATGATTGGGACTTGGAGAAATATAGAAATAGATTTATCTTTTAGATTATTAAATGGGGTGGGGAGATATACAACAGTATAAAAGGTCCTCTAAACATTAATTAAATTACAAATTTCTTAATTTGAGTCTTGACTTGAACACTGAAGTTATTCTTTTACTACAAATAAAGAAATTTCACCAGCAATTTACTTTTTAAAATTTTTCCCGGGGGTGGTGGTAATTAGGTTTATTTATTCATTTATTTTGTAATGGAGGTACTGAGGATTGAACCCAGGACCTTGTGCATGCTAAGCACGCACTCTACCACTGAGCTACACTCTTCCCCTCACCAGCAACTTAAAATATTGTCTTTACACAGTTAATGTATTTCCACTAAGGCAAACAATAACATGTATGTACATACATATATGTGTAATATATACCTGAATATGTGTTAGATACGTATATATGTGTGTGTGTATATTAGTACCGCTTCCATTTTTATAGATAAGGAAACTAAGAGATGTAGCCAACTTTGTCAAAGTGCGTGAGGGAGTGTGGATCTGAATTTATGCCTATAGGGCTCTCAAGTCTGTGCTTAAAACCTTGAAGCTCATGGGGAAACTGAAAGACAGAATGTTAAAGGGATGGGAGAGAGGACTTTTCTGGGTTCTAAGCAGGGTGTGGACAAAAACCCCAGGGGCACATGGTGACTCTGGAGACCCCACAACACAAGGAGCATAGTGGGGCCTGGGAGTGAAAAAACCTGGCTTCTCCCCCCAGCTCTGCTGTCAGGTCATCTGTAGGGCCACAGGCAAGGCCATGTCAAGAAACACTTCCCATATACAGCACAAGGCCACTGGACAGGACAGCCATTGAGGACTTCCAGCCCTGGCATCATAAGCTCTTTAGACCTGCCCCAGTTACAGGGGAAGGAAATGATCTAAGCAACGGGTCTCAGTCATTTAGGGTCAGTAAGGGGTGGGGGGCGCAGTGCTCAGCTCTGAAGCCTGGAGCCCATGGGAGGATGAATAGGAGAAGGGAAATAGGTACCCTGACAGGACTAGAGACCCACATCACTGGGGGTCCTAGCAGGACTGGAGCCTTAAGAGGTTAAGAGGTCCTGATTGGTTTAGGGGCCCTTGCAAGATAAGGAGTCATGAATAAGATTAGGGACCCACACAAACTAAGGGATCCCTGGCATAACTAGAGGGTGGGGAAGGAATAGGGGTTCTGCAAAAATTATGGGGGTGGGAGGAGCGCTAACATGGCCGGGGCTATTTTGCAAGGTCTGAGAAACATGGCAGGACTCGGGAGCTTGACAAGATTGGGGAACCCTAGCAGGCCAGGAACTGACATTACTGGGGAGTCCTGAAGGCTTGCGGGTATCCTGAAAGAATTAAGGGGTCCTGGAAGGACTGCGAGGCACTGAGAGCTTCAAGAGGCACTGACAAAATTTGGGGCCTTGATAAGCCTGAGGGCCCCTGGAAGTTCTGGGGACAATGACAGGATTGGGGGAGGCACTGGCAGGCAGAGGAGGGAGGGTACACGGGGCACTGATAAAACTGGAGGAGCCAGCAGAATTGGGGAGTGCGGGCAGAACTGGCCTTGCCTAAGACCTGCAAGTCCTAGAGGCCCGTCGCTCCGTCCGCCCCAAGGCCTGGGCCTCCAACCCCTGCGGACACAGAAGCCTCCAGAATGCTCACCCCAGCCCTGGGGACCCTGACTAGGGCGTGAAAGGGCCGCCCAAGGCCAGCCTGAGCACCCGGGTCCCGGTCTCCCCCCCGCCCCGCCCCCCCGAAGCTCACCTGACGGCCGCCCCGGTCCGCAGGAAGCGCTGGATGGCCCTGTCCGCCGCGGTCATCGCCGCCTCCGTCCGGGAGCTCAGCATCGCGGCTGCGCGGGAGGCCCGCAGCCGCCCCCGCCGCTACCACCGCGGCTGGACCCAGGGTTCCGAGGGCTCCCGAGGCGGCGGAACCCGCGGCCAACGTTCCAGCTCCTCCGGGGAAGGCAGGCCGAGGACGGGCTCCGGGGAGAAACGGAAGTGACTGCCACCGGAGGACTAGAGCCGACGGACCTCAGGCTTGTTCTTCCTTTTCCCTCTTAGCAACGGGCGTCGGCGTCGGTTGCTAAGGGAGGCCTTGCGGCCGGGGGCCGCTTGGTTTTCTAGCTTTACTCCGGCTCCGTTCGTAAATACAGATGTCCCACTTCCAGAAGGGATCCTGGGTCATTTTTATTTTTCACTGTGAATAGGGCGATCCCCTCCTGAAAGCAGGGTCACGACTTGGCCACCGTTAGTTATTATTGCCTTCGGACAGCATTATTGTCTTATTATTGTTTTAGGTCGCAGAGGAAGGAACTTTAATGAGCATGTGGCCCATCTGAGGCATCTATAGAGCAATTGAGGCTTTAATAATAACGGCCACCAAATTTATTGTTTACTTAGGTGCATTGCTAGGTATGCATTATTCGTATTCATTTTTTTTTTAATTGAGGTATAGCCAGTTTATACTGTGTCAATTTCTGGTGTACAGCATCGTATTCATTCTTCACTCTAACCCTAACATTACCCACATTTTACATGCCAGGAAACACGGGAAGTTTAGACAGGTAATAAGTCTTTTGACACAGCTTGTAAGTGGTGGAAACAAGATTGGCAGGCAAGTCTGTGTGTCTCCAGAATAGCACTGTCCAATAGAAATGTATGGAAGGCCAACGTTTTAAATTTTCCAGTAGCCACATTAAAGTAAAAAAAGGTGAAATTAACTTTATCAATATCTTTTACTTGACCCCAATATGTCCAAAATATTGTCATTTATATGTAAAAGTTATTAATGAGCTTATTTACATTCTTTTTTTGTACTAAATGCCTCTCAATTTGAACCAGACATTTTTCATGACTCAGTAGCCACATGTGGCCAGTGGCTACCACAATGGACAGTATTAGAGCCAGAGAGAATCTGCCCTTCCTTTTAACCAATTACCCCAACTCCAGAGCAAGCAATTGCAACTGCTTTAGTAAAGAAATGTTTTAGCTCAGTAGTTCTCAAAAGTTTTTGGTCTCGGGACCCTTTCACATGCTGACAAAGTCTAGATAGCTTTTGTTCATGTAGGTTATTTCTAACTATACTTATACTCCTAAAAATTAAAATTGAGAAACAATTTGTGGGTTTTAAAAATTGAATAATTTATACAGTAAAATTTACCTATTTTTAGGGTACAGTTCTATGAACTCTGGCAAATGTATAGTCATGTAAACACCAACACAATAAAGATATAGAATAATCACCCCTTGCCAAAAAAAAGTGTTATTCCCTGCCCCTTTGTAGTCATCTCCTCCACCTACCCCAAGCCCCAGGAAACCACTGATCAAGACTGAGAAAAAATATTAAAATTTAAAATCCAAAGCACTAAAGCATACATTCCATTAGACGTCAGAGCCATGACCACATCACACACTGTGTAGCCTCTGGAAAATTCTTGGGTCCCAGTGCTAAAAGCTTCTCCCCAGCAGTGCTTGTCAGAAACACTTACAGGCAAGTGTTTCAATGCCACAGCTGCAATGAATAACAGATATGGCAAACAATGGAGTAACAAAAAGTTTAAAAGGGAAGGCCGAGGAATGAGACAGCCTCAGGGGCTTTGAACAACTCCAGTATATTTCTGGGGGTCTAAAAGGATACACATGTGAGTGAGGTTGTGCACATGCTCAGGAAAGACCTGAGAGGTGCTAAGTTCTCACTCCTGGCTGATCTTGATATTCTGTACAAGCAGGGAGTGAAGGCTAAGGCAGAGTTTCCCGTTGCCTGGCTGAGTGTTGCAGATGTGTCCCAACACACACACACACACACACACACAAAAGAGCCCCTTGGCAAAGACTGAGAGATTTTCATTTCCAGGCATTTAAGAAAATCTCTACTCAGTCATTACCTGGTCACTATCTGAGTAGCTATTTCAGTGACTACACTTACAGACCACTGACTGAACTTACAGATTAGTTCAAAAAAGTCACAAAACAAACTACAATGAGCAGCAATAACAACAAATCCCAAGGAGGAGGGAGGAATTTGATTTCCAAATTATATTTAAAGGTCCAGTTTTCAACAAAAAATTATGATACTTGCAAATCATCAAGAAAACATGGTCCACACACAGAGAAAAAAAAACAATCAATACTGTCCCTGAGGAAGCCCAGATATTGGACTTACTAGATAAAGATTTTAAATCTATTTTAAATATGCTCAAAGAGCTAAAGGAAGCCAGGTATAAAGAACTAAAGAAAAGAATCAGGACAATATCTCACCAAATAGAGAATACTAATAAAAAGCTAGAAATTATAAAAATGAAGTGAAATAGAAATTCTGGAGTTGAAAATAACTGAAATAAAAAATTCACAAAAAGAATTCAACAGCAGATTTGAGTGGGCAGAAGAAAGAATCAATGAACATGAAAATAGATCAATTGAGGAGGTAGGATTTGATTTCCAAATTGTATTAAAATATCTACTTTTCAACAAAAAGTTATAAGACTTGCAAATCATCAGGAAAATATGGTCTACACACAGAAAAAAAGATCAATAGACTTTTCAGATTCTTTTCCATCATAGCTTATTACAAGAAACTGAATATAGTTCCCTGTGCTATACAGTAGGTCCTTGTTGTTTATCTATTTTATATATAGTAATGTGTATCCAGAAGCAGTTTTTTTAAAAATAATATTGAAATTATGTATTAGTCCAAACTAGATTGTTATAAATGAAATGACAGTGGTAATCTCCAGGACAACCACTAAAAAAAAAACCCCTCAAAACTACATAATAAAGGAAATGACACAGAAAATAAATTGGTATATAACAAAACATATATTTAACACAAAACAAGGCAGTAATGGAGAAACTGAGGAACAAAATAGATGTAAGATGTACGGAAAACAGATAATACAACGGCAGTGTAAATTCTACATGATCTGTGATAACATTAAATTTAAAAGGATTAAACTCTAATTTAAAGCTAACAGTTGGAAGATTGAATAAAAATACATGATTCAACTATATGCTGTCTACAAGAAGGCGATTTTAGATTCAGAGATGCAAATAGGTTGAAAGCGGAAGGATGGGAAATGAAAACATTAACGAAAAGAGAGCTGGAGTGACCATGATAATATGAGACAAGATAGACTTTAAGACAAAAATTATTCCTAGAGACCAACAATGATAAGAGGGTCAATCCATCAAGAAGATATAACAATTATAAGCATAGGTGC